GTGAGTCGGCCGGCGGTTGTGACACGGCGCGGCACAGCCTAAGTTAGCAAAGTAAGGTCGGTGTGTCGGGGTTTGCCGCTGTGAGTCGGACGGTGCAGCTCAGACGCCACGGAACAGCCTAAGTTAGCAAAGTACGGTCTGTGTGTCGGGCTTTGCCGCTCTGAGTCGGCCGGCTGTTCTCGCCCCGGCACAGCACAGCCTAAGTTATGAAACTAAGGTCAGTGTGGAAAGTAAGGCCGGCTCGGCCTGTGTAGGTCCGAGCTATTGCAAGAAGAACAAGTGTGGAAAGGCCAAGTACCAAAAGGCGGAGATGTCTCGAAGGATCCCTTTTGTACCAGCTCCTGTGCTTCCTCCATCTTTCGTGGTGCTGCTACTTTGCTCAATACTTGCTTTCAAATCATATCTTAAAAAACGGAAAACATGTGATTGTTGGTGTTGACTACCAGGATGCCAGTCTAGTCCGTTATCTGTTCACTTGTACTATACTTCCCACACCCTCAGGTTGAACCTGCTCTACGCGGCCGGCGCCCCCTATTCCATTTTGTCGGTGACCGAACAGGTGCTGAAGCACATGTCTCGCCCCACATCGGTCCCTGGGTTTTTTGAACTCGGAAGGCTCTAAAGTTGCAATCTTTGCAATTGTGAAACCTTCTTTGTTGCAATCTTTGCAAGTGTGAAACCTTCTTTGTTCGCACTTGCCACCAAGACTTTGATGGCAGTGGAGACATTTGCTGGTGTCGCAACGATCGCAAGTGCTTTCCGGCCGCTTGCCATCTTAGAATGTCTTGGAGCTTCACGTGCATCTCTGTCCTAGAATACCTAGAAACAACACATGCACTATCATGCACCACATGTCACTTGTCAAAGTGGAATGTACTTGGTCCAAACAACAGGGATCTTTGGCCAACTAAGGAGGATGGGATTTTCAGCGGCGACCTTTCAGCTTGAGGATAGCCCCGCCAAGAACCCAACCGAGCAGGACATCAATGATGGATTGGGCTTGGCGCTTGGCCTTTCAATGACCTTGCGGCTCTTCAAATGTGCACCTTGCATTCTAAGATGGAAGAACGAATGCACACATGGCTTCTTGATTTCGTGAAACTAGCTTTGCGGTGTAAGGCAGGGCTCAACTTCGAAGAGCCAGTGTGTTCCACATGGATCTGGATCAACAGCTTGGTTTCCTGAGTATTTTGTGTATTGGAATTGGAATGAAATGGGAAAAATGGACATGGAAAACCTGCCGCTCCACCTTCGCCGCACGCTCAGGGGTACTTCTCAGACTCAGCGACGACCTGATCGCCCGCTTGGAGCTACGCACTTGGAGAGCGTGAGCTCTGCGACACTTGGTGGGGATGAAGAGTCTAGTGAGGAGGAATCTCCCAAGAGCAGCGACGAGTTCGCTGCAATGGTACCTTGTCCTATCGTGCTATAGGTGTGGGGAACATGTGTACTGTTTTGGTGAACCTGTGGGGTCTGGGGTGTTTAAAGGTCAGCCAATCCAAGCCAACATCTCAGGCTGAAGCTTTGATGGTGCGGGATGTCGATGAATGTTCCAATGAGGGGCAACATGTGGAGAACCACCGCAAGTTCCTCCCTCCAAAGCCCGAAACATATGATGCAGCGGTTGATCGCACGCGGGACGAGCCTCCAATGGAGCCTGTGCCCATGTCGAAAAAAGAGCGCCGCTTGGTAGCACGCAGGTCCTGCAACAATCTCACTTGAACCCTCTTGACAGTTGCATCTAGTCCAGTCTGATTTACTTGAGGGTCATCATGTTGTGAGGCAAACGGAAGGAGAAGAAGGAGAGCAAAAAAGCTGCCAAGAAGGCCAAGCATGCCAATGAAGCTACAGCTCCAGAACCATCCCTCTCAGGCCTTTTGTGATATGTTATGAAAAAGTGTGTTTCCAAAAGCGTGATGTTTCCATGGTGGTCCGATCATACAATGCAGTTTTACTTTGGTGAGCCAGGCGAAGTGGATTACATCCTTGGATCCTTCAAAGAACCTGACAGGCAGTTGATCCGTTCTTTGCCACAGAAACTATGGCCTGTGTCAAAGACCCATGGCAAGCATTCCTATACACCCTGCAACTCGGCTTCCCCAATGTGCTGTCCTCCAAAAAGCTGCTAGTGGTGCAAGTGCTCCATCTTGTTCTCCAAGCTGCAACACAGACCTGGACTGAGAAAGGCGCCAAGGGGGTAGAGGAGACTCCCCTGACTCCTTCCTCGGCCCAGGTCTGTGTTGCAGCGCCCTGCACTAAGGCAAATGCAAGGAGCACGTGTGGAAGTATTCCGGTTTCATGGAAACGAGTGGCCCAGTGATCTTCTGGAGAGAACGCAGCAACCCCACAAACACCATGGAGCCCGAACCACAAAGTGTTTTTTCAAAAAAACTCATCGCATATACGCATATATATATATATATATAACCAGGTGTTCCAGCCGTTTTGGCCCAAGCCCAGGCAGAGTTTGACAACCTGCTTTGCCCAGTCATTATCTAATCAAAACCATGGAGGGTTTTGACTAATCAAAACCATTGAGGGTTTTGGCTGCAAGTCTTGAGCCACTTTCCTGCCCGCCCAGCTTCTAATCAAAACCATTGAGGGTTTTGGCTGCAAGTCTTGAGCAACTATTCCTGCTCGCCCAGCTTCTAATCAGAACCAGTCAGGGTTTTGACTGCAGTTCTTGAGCACTTCTCCCGCCCACCCCGCCCCGTTTGTCATCGAAGCCATCAGTGGTTTTGATTATAGCCTTTGGGCACCTTTCGTTGTCCAGCCTGCATGGAGCGCATCATGCAGAATTGCCATGCACTTAATAAATTTGCAATATTATCGGTTCTCGCGACAAAACGACAACAGTGTAATTCTTACACTGTCAACACGAAGTGGTCACAATGATCGGCTGTGCTTGTATCGTTGACATGCCGTGGTTCACAGAAATTCTGATGTATTTGCAACTCAACCTTTCTCACCGCCACGAAACTAGACCCGTGGCACAGACGTTCACACAAAAGAACGAACCCTGACACCTCTTTTTTCCACACCGTAGCCTGCACAGGAGTGTTGCTCTTTGTCAGAGCGTTGGCTTGCACTCTCACATCCAGCCGTCCCCCGCAACACCGCGTTCTCCTTGTATGTTGCTGTGTGTCACAGCAGTGGGCTCAGGAGCTCGGCCAGGGTCTAAGTTTTCCACCAACTCGTCCAAGATGGCACTTTGAGCATCCCGAGCTTTGTCTGACAATTTGCGCAGGAATCGCAAGGTGCGGTTCACTTCTTCCCGGCTCAGGTTCATTTCCACAAGTAAAGAAGGGTCATCCTCAAACTTGTCGTCCATGTCATCCAAAATGCAAACGAGTTGCATGGCCATATTGCCTAGCTCCGCAAACAGAGCGTGCCGCATCACCTTGCTTTCAGGGCTCATCACCACCGCGACTTCTTCAGGCTGGGCTTCAGCACATTGTTCGGGAGATTCAGGTGCTTCAGGACCTCCACTAGCCATCTGCACAAACAGCCAGGAAGCGAGTTCAAACACGGGTTCTTTCTGATTCTGAGCCTCAACACAACACGTCAAGGTCCAATTGAACACACAGACTGCGCGCCAAGTTTCCTCGGCTCGCACACGGCCTTGCAAACGTTAACAGTTCAGTTAGCCAGAGCAGACGTTCCGACAAACCAGCCCATGTCTTTTTCCACAGAGCTCTCTGTGCAGCTGCTACGACGGCCGTTCTGTACATGTGAATTGTGACACCAGCGCGTGCTGCAGCAGAAACACTGACCAACGCTGGAGTGTGGCGTTGCAGCTCATGGCACTGGAAAACAGCTAAACGGAAAGTGCAAATTCTCAGCTACTTTCTTGGTAACTTCTGTCAACGCACGCTTCACAAGCACACGCTGCTGCCTGCCTCCTGTTGCGCCGCAACGTCTGTTGCACACATCTGCTAGACCCAGAGAGGCTGCTAGCTGACAAACTTCATCAAATTGTGTAGCCGAAAGCTGGCGAGAACTCATGGCAGCACGGCCCAGCCTCGCGGTATTTCTCAACGCGTTCAATGTAATTTCCGTGTCATGGGGAAGCGCCTTCATGACTTGAAGGAGGCTGACCTCACAGGTGCTCATGGGTTCTCCACATGCCTTCGCCCAGGCTGTGTCACCTCCACAGCCAGCATCTTGAGGCTGCTGCTTGCCTTGCGCCTTCAGCTCGGTTTCGAAAGCAATGACATTCAAGAAGTATATCGCTTCTGTGAATCGGACCAAAGCTCTCCGTACGCTGTCAGCCCCGACAATTTCGTTGGGCGAATGCCGATCATCCACGAGGTCTGTGAGATCCAAATGCAGCGGTCCAAGCGACGCAGCCTCATCGCACCATCTGAAAAAGTCACAGCCATTGTCTGCACCTGAAGCAGGATCAAGAGCACACAACGGGCGAGCCTCCACCCTCAAACTTGATTGGTTGACACGTCTTCCTAGATAAAGAAACAATGATTTTTTCGCTACACAGTTTCTCCCAAGCTAAGACGAAAAGCTGGCTTGCCCGCAGCACCAAAACTTGCGCCCCACGTTGCTTTGAGGCCCTTTGGATCCTTTGCGCT